ATTTAGTTTTGACATGCGAAAAGCACAGTAATTGTTGTTGCCTACGCACCCATCGGTTCTTCTGAAGAGGGAAGTTGACGCGGCTATCCTGCTAATAGGTGGAAATTTCTCAAGGCTGCCGAGTAAGCAAGAACTGGAATGTATCGATCACCTAGCCTAAGTACAGGTCAAATCCACCCATGTCTACTACCACCCTAATGTTCACCAAACTACGGCCCGTGAGCAGGACGAGGCCAACGGCATCAGTTCATATGGCTCGCGACGTTAGTTCACCGGGCCTGTTGAGTGAACCACTATTTGTTAAAAAACCCCAGGGAACAAGATGTTGTGATACGAGTTACCTTCGACACTGCGTGTCGTGTTGTCCATGAACTCATACTATTTGAACACTAAAGTGAGGCACCCCAAGATTTTGAGGTACGACGCCACGCCACTGTACTACCAGTGTTCCACGTCGTTGGAACATTGATGTGGGTGAACACGCATGAAACCCAATCATCTGTGCACCCTACTGTGTTTCCGGTATAAGCTCAAATCTCCGTGGTCGGATTTTCCGTTCTCCAGTACCCTCGATACATATCAAATAAACGCTGATCATTAAGATGCCATTATTTTGTGTATGTTCCATCCTGAGGCGATATTCGCTGGCTATTTGGGACGAATTGCAAATTAATGTTACAGAATGCTGCTGAAAGTGCAAATTGTCGTGTCGTATATTTTTATATTGCTAACTGCTGTGATTTATACTGTTAGCCAGTTGCAGCACCGTTAGTTGATTTGAAACCGATGAAAACGCTTTACTCACATCTACCAAGTGCGTTACGGCATATATATATATATATAGCAACTTCTTATATGATGCAAACTATATGGCCGAAATCACCGAGTAACTTTACATGTATGTCTGGTGAGCTGCATTTCCACACATTACTCAAAGTACTCTGTTTTATTACGGTTCTCAGATGCGTTTCGTTTATGTTTGTGATTCAAAACAATTTTCTTGTTCAATTCCCTTTATTTTTGCCTTCATTGTGACTACTAAGAAAAGAAAATCCCATACCCAGTGTATGATCTTGTTTGTCTGTTACTCATTGTTTTAATTATGGCATGGAATTATTGTGAGTAATGCTTGTGTGTCACATGCTAAGCGTTTTGTGAACTATCATGGCTAGTCATCATTTCTGATTATCCAACCGGCTGTAAAATGCCTTTAGTTACTCCGGTTTTAGACCAACCTCATTTTAACTGTTATTGAAGTCAAGCGAGTTTAAATTTCGGACATGTATTCGCTTGATGTACTAGGGCTCATATCTCATTTCTAACTGGCTCAACTCACTACTGCTTTCGATTATCCGACAACAAAAGTTTTCACTACCTTTAAGGGCTTCCATTTGACCGGTAACCCAGCTCAGGTTCAAAAATTTAAAAATGTTTCTTACTAAAGCAAATAAAACTTGACTTAAGGGATCAATGAATCCGATTGTCGGCCAGGTTTTAGTTGCACAAATCAGTTGGAACAAGGTCAACGCAAATCAAGCTATAATGAACACACAGGAATAAAAGCTACTCCTCCTACAATGCCAGTTAAACATAACATATAAATCCTGCTTCGACTGGTGAATATCTCCTGCTTGGGTCATAAAAAGGCGGCTTAGCAAAAAGCTCTTGTTGGGTGATTTATCTTCAAGCTCAATAAAACACATAGACAAAATAATGAAGGATGATTTTTCACGCTATAGCTGGTCGGACAACTACTGTAGACGATATAGCCAAAGGAAGTGTCTACGCGCACAGGACGGATTGCGACAGCATCAGTCAATGCAAGGTTTCGGCATCAGATAAGTTTGGTATGAACATTTCTCCCTCAGTAGATGGGGAGAAAGTCTTTGGAGATAATGACGGCGTTATTCCACTGGACTAGGTGTGCGATTATCGCGGAAATTCACATCTTGTTCAATCACCGGCTTTGCTGCTGTATTTAGTCCGGCGATAAATCAAAGAAAATGAGCAGGTTTTCTGGAACAATTCCTTATGAAGTTTGGTCGAATGCATGCATGGAACTCAATTCACGACATTAGCAATTCAATCACCGATGATCAGGATCCGAAAAAGTTATGTTCACCTATCGGCTAGGGCATCCAGGGTTCTCTATTTCTAACTTAGCCAGTTGTAACAACTAGACTTTCCTAACCATTCGTGCAGACGGGATAGGGTGAACGGTTCCTGAAAATCATGATTCTTGTTTAACTGGGACCACAAATTTTAACTTCAAATGTTTACGTTACAAAGACGTAGTTTGAAATACATATTTTAGTGCGGAATATTCTTGCCGGTTTAATCTGACAAGCATATTTTTATTTTACCTTAACCTCGCGAATGTCCACTAGATAAGGTAACATTAATCGGAGGGAAAGTAGCTCTAGTAAGTGCAACCGTATTTTGTCCTGCATTCGGTCATCGTTCATAAACGGTGAGGATCCGACGTTAACTGGAGTGAAAGAAAACAGTTCGAGCTTGAGTAAAAATCGCTCGTGTTACTGCTTATTGCATGAACCCACTGAGAAGTTGCATTTGAGCGTAATTTATTGCTGTTGAAAGAGGAAAGATTCCTTGATTATGCCTGGAGGTGCCCTGGATAGAAATGGCAAATAGCTTAGCTGATCGATATTGGTGGCTGCGGCTTTGGCGAGGGGATGGTTTTTCATAACTGTCTGCCCAGCGGGTTAGGTGAGGGTGTTGGGCGGAGCCTAGGATACTAGTCGGTAAGCAATGACACGTAAGACGTGTCAAATACGACAGTATAGAAGTCGGAGGCGACTGAGCCCAAAGTATATTGTGCAGGCTACAAGAATAGGAAGCGAATCAGACAGAGCGAGAAACGTGCAGCGAGGTACTCACCAAAACGGTTTGTGTCAACGGACGTGCAGTCAGTAAAACAAGTGGACGTTTCGAAGGTTAAAACAACCGTAAAAGCCAATGTTACAAAATACTGAAAGAGTTTGTTTTCCGGTACACTACAATGGTAACTTGCAAATCAGTTTAATGAAGTCCGAAATACATGCATCATAGAACACCACACCAATGTCGTTTTGATCATAAGTGTGTGTCGCAACGAAACGAACTATCTATTGACTCATCGAGCCTCCGTGACTAGTGTTATTATAACCAGGGTTATGAGGTAGCATCAGCTACCAGTGGAATTCCGAGTTTACAAAAGTTGAGCCGTACTTCTATCAGGGCAAGAGTAGAGAATGTGGAATAAGGATGCAAGTTACTGATCAAGTGGTAATTGTTTTTAATATAGTTATCATAAAAACTATTTAAACACCTTAGCCTACTACGTCAACACTTACCTCATAATATTCGCACTTATCATAATTATTTAACGCCTTGAGAAATGCTTGGTTCACACATTTTCCCACTGTCGTGCTATCCATAAAATAAATTCAAGTCAAGAATGATCACAGAACTTGAAGCACGAGTTGTTATTTGGCTATATCACAACGCATTCAACACTATAATGAATACTGCCTGCTAAAACGAATAGGGAACAGGGGTTTTGACATGAGACATTTATAGGGTACCATCAGTTTCAACTCGCCAGTTGGTTATTTTCCCTTCTTCCTTCAGAACGTGATTTACTTGTAGGACGACCGGCGAGCGTGCATGTGCGAGAGTAAATGGATTTTTACTTCCATCTGATCCACGAAGATGATTCACAACTGTAGGCGGAAGAATTACCACGAAAATCGCAGCCTGCATGTCAAGATCATAGTTAGATAAACCCAACATCTGCGCCTTCTGCCGTGATCCCAAATAACCCATTATTTGTCTACCCCTTGCGATTAACTATGCAAACCTCCACGTTCTCTGTGCAACCCACACCATGATATCCAGATTTGCTCCCGATAACCCTATCTGCTCCGACGGGCTATTGTGCGATTCATTGTTTTCCTAACCGTGTCTACGTGTTTTCATTCCCAACCCGCTGCGAGATGCGATCGCGTCTATAAAGGCGTAACGTGACCAAATGTCCCACCATTCGGCATGGATGTGAACTCATCACATACTGCTGTGACGATTGTGCAGTCCCCACCGCGTGCTACTAACCCCAAGGGCAACCAGGCCCTTGTTGGTCTGTGATCCCATATCCGTACTGAGACGCGTTAATCTCATTTCATTTGAATGTAACGACACCGATGGGATAAGATTTCGGAAACCTTAAAAAGAACCCTCGTATTCCTCTGTATGAATCTGTGCTGTGTGGCCTGGCTGTACGGCAGCAAATGCGCTGGGGCAATTTCATTGTGTAACTGTACAAAGTCCCGGTTGTTTCTGAACTGAAAGGGAACTGTTGAGGAATGTAAATATTTATTTGAGTTCGATTTTGTTTAATAGTGCCGTAGCTAACGTCTCGGCTTCCTTTATCGACTGGACCAGGGATTTTTACTATTCCCTCGAGCCCCAAGTGAATCTGTCGTTTACAACAACCATCTAATGTGCTATGAGAAAGATAACTATTAAGGTTAAATGTTTTGAAGTTGGTATTATTGTAAAAACACGTGAGTAAGCACACCCAAAGGCGGTGATTGGAATTGGCCATTGCCGCTCTCCCCTAAAATATTTTTTGTGCTAGCAACTGCAAACATAGTAATGTTGTATGAATATTTTGACGAAATTTTTGTCTGAACAATTCCAAGATTACTGAGGCCGCTCAACTTCACCGATGCTTTGAAGACGGATCCAGGACCCCGCGAATAACTCGCAGTTCCGGGTTTTATCCAAATGAACCCAGCTATCATTAAATATTCCAATAAAATTGGGTCTCGTAAACTGGATAAAGAACCTTATAATTCGGTACCGATTATTTAAGTCACATCTGTGCACCTTTTACCTATTCTGCTTTTAAACTTGTAAAATTGTCATATCCATCATCATAAAATCCCTTAAATATTACCTCCCTATACTCCCATCACACCAATCAACCAAATACTCCAACATCAACCCAATACCCCCCCCAACCACCCACCAAAACCAACCCCACACCCCCCCCAACAACAACAAACCAACCCACCCCCACAACCCAACATCCCCCACCCCAACCCCCATACCACCCACACACCCCCCCCACCACCCCACCCACAAACCCCCCAACCCCCACAACACCCCCCCCACAACCCCCCCCCCCCCCACCCCCCCCCACCCCCCCCCCCCCCACCCCCCACCCCCCCTCCCACAATATAACCCCCCCCCCACAACACACACATCACCCCATTCCCCACCAACCCACCCCCCACAACCCTCCCTCAATCTAACCCCCACATCTCCCCAATACCCCTTAAACCCCCATTACCCCATAACAATACCCGCCACATGACAAAACCGTTACCCCCAATCCTCATCCACTCCATTAGCTACCAATCACCATACCCTAGTCACATCAATCCACACATCCACCCCCATTACTATCCGCCCCTCTTTGGATACCAAACAACTAAATATAGAGTTGAAATGTATTTATCACGCAATTTGTTGACTAATGCCAGCCGTTTCGGAGTTATCCACCAAGGTCTAGACATACAATGTATATCTGATTTGACATCCTCGATACTATTGATGCCAACCAAACTTTAGTTTCTGAAAACATTGCTCATCCGTAATCGATAGGTTCCACACTTTTCTGGTGACCCGATGGTATCTTACACACAGGCTTGCCGATATTTCGTTCCACATGCCAATCCAATGGTATCCCCGAATACAATGACCTGGGGTCATATTGCTCGCGAGTCAACTGGATTTCGGTACATGATGTTCACGACGAGGCACCTGACGACTGGGCCTAATCCATCATTATGATAACCATATTTGTATGGTGATACCTCGGATTTTAGCTCAACCCATTCTACCTGCTGTTATTGAGATCCCAGTGGATTTGACAGCTACGCGGCAAGCGAGTTTTTCAGACATGTTGGCCGGCATCTGAGGAACGTAGCAATAACGGCGAATGTTCCTTACTCAGGGATTCCGATCCCCACTCCCATGAAGTTTGCGGTTCCTTCAACTGAATACAGCTAGGATTTCAAAGCGGTGCAAGGAGATCTGACGGAATTGAATATGACAAGCGGGTGCAAATTAGCGACAGCTGATTGCGCATAGCGTTGCAAACCATCGGTTCGGGGTCAAATAATTCCAACTTACCGAGACTCAATTTGAGTCACTGATTCAACATTTACTTGCAATAAACATTTAGATGATTATTTGGTACTTATGGACACCTTCGCCTTCGCAAAACAATTTGCTAGTTCAACATGGAAACATTTATCACAGCCCCACCCAATATCTTGGATCGCATAAATCTACACACTGTAACAAGAATATTATTTGATCAAACGGCAGTTGTCGCATATCTGTTTGTACAAAACTGACCATGCGTTTTTGATGCGCCTCGTGCACTATCGAAACTATTCATGTTTATTTTTTACTTTATTTTAATCCCATCTACCTTTAATTTTACTGCCTGCAGTATCCTGCCGTTCCTTGGTACTCTGAAATGAAAATTCCGCAGTATTTTAACTACTTAGGATTAGTTGTCGGTTTCGCTTTTGAAGACCCTAATGCTAACTCATACAACCCACCCACATAAAGCGCAGGTGTGTAAAAACGGGGATAGTTCGTGTTGTACAAAGTGCAAGACCTTGTCCGTCGAAGACTTCACGGAATATATTTCGTTACAACAGTGTGCCATCAGACCGTCATGTTAATTCCGCTCTTCGATGTATCTCAAGTTGCTTAGTATTGGTGCACCCCAGTACTAACAACATTGTATGCTTACGGAACAAGAGGTTGGGGACCAGACACACTCAGTCCACATATTTACTTGCCGCTATCGGTTCTCGAAGTGAGGCTGTCTCAGATGAGATTGATACAAGGAATACGGTACTCTACACCGTAAAACACATGTAGTACCACTGACGTGCGCATGACCAAGATAGGTATATCTCCATGGTAACGCAATGGTATCAAGGTTATTCTAGCTACGGTACTCATAACTACCGAAACCAAAACAACAATTCTTTTCCCCACAGAATCCATGAAATGCATAAAGTGGTTTCACGTATCTGTAGGCGACTGTTCTAGCTAGTATCACGATATGATGCCCTTCCCGTTGGTTAATTATACACTGCCTTAAATAGGCCAGTGGTTTTTTTTAACCAATACTGGTAGCGGCGACCAGACTGTGGATTATCATAGTAAAATCGAAGTAAAACTCGTCCGTCTGCTTGTCAGATACACAAGAAATTTCATTAGCAGACTAAGCAACTTAATGCCGATTTTTTGGTGGTCACCAGTTGTCAGCTAAAAGAACTTTGTTTATTAGACATGGTGATTAAGGTACGTTTATGCTGCGGTTGTGTCAAGGAACACTGACGAGATACCATTGAAGAGCCACTTGATCGGTGTCGAATCCTCAACAAGGCTGGCTGAACGCAGCAAATCAACGTCTTGCTAAAAGATGACACAAAGGTTTTGTTTCGCAAATGAACACTGATCCTCGGGTGGTGCCTGGAAACGTGTGATTCTTTCAACACGACCACATAAGTATGGTTGCTTATCATAATGAGCATAAGAAATAGGTCCAAACCGCCTAAGAGGTTGATTTCATGCAAAACCGGAGCGTGAGCAAGCAACTGCTACTTTCTTGTACAGAAAGGGACCAAGTAATACGCAGCGGAATGCATGCCGCAATTTGAGCCCTCCGTGGTAGATATATGTTACCGCACTTTCCTCAAGAAGTTCATTTGAAGTAGCTTACAACTCAGTTCACAACAACATTTGATTATCCTGTCTGCCTTTAGTACGTGTTTTAGAGAGAGATCAACAAATAACTCACCTTGGGCTCAAGCTACTTCAGCATTTCACTGGTTACTCCATCACACACAATACCATTCAGAAGTATTTGAAGGATGTTTGTGAGTAACGTAAGTATCGTAGAAGGCAGAAGTCACGATTAAACTCCACACGAAAATCTGCCTCGACGGGGAATCGAACCCCGGTCCACGAATTTCCGGTCCGTTGCTCTACCACTGAGCTACCGAGGGCTGACGATTAGGTGCGGAATTTAACACGTGACTTCTGCTTAGTGCGCGACGTAAATTATCATGCGCTGAATATCCGCAACAACCACAGTTGGACGTTACCAAATAGTACGATTGGTTCCGATACAGTTTTGGTGCATACCCAGCGATATTGTACTGCTGTGCACTTCCAAAACTTAAATAAATGTTCTCCTATTCCCCGGACTGCAAACAAAAAGCGAATCATACCAAGCATTGAGATTACATTCGTTGTTTTTGCTGACAATTTTACTAGTACGACTGCGGCAATGTGGACCTGGCTTCGAACCATGACATTAGATGCGGTTTCTAGATCGCAGATCAATGAAGCTTGCGATCGGCCAAAGACTCATCCAAAAGTCAAAACAAGCTGAGGCCAAGGTAAAAACCAGCTAATGCCCAAGAGTCAGATCGAAAATGACCGGGAAAGTATCAAACAACAGGTTGCAAGCAATACCCATGATCAAGCGAGTTATACTTAGAACGGTTTGTTTCACTGTATGTCAACAACGTATTTGGTCTTCATTAGGCTCAGTTTGCCGCGTACGTGCATTGTTTGTTCTTCCTTTCCTCGGTACTCACAGTCTGTGTGT